AAACCAAAGTAAAAATACCTATACAACATAAATAAGGTAGCATTTTGATTATAACCAGATATTTCAACTGTAACAATTTCTCCAAATTATATTTTAGTATTTGAGTCCCATCTGCATTAGAGCTTTAAAACTATTTCCAACTGCTTTATGTAAATGTCTTCCTTTATCACCAGAGGAGTAAATAATCTTCCTGTTCTTTGAAAATTGACAATACTTTCTACATGCTAGACTTCTAACACCTTCTCTATTTATACAAATAGCCTTATTTGTCCTGGACACTATACCCACTGGAATCATTCAACATTAAAATAAAATAATGTCAAATAAGTCATGTGAATGTGCTTAGTGACCCATTAATTAGTATCAAATATGTTAATGTGAAGATATTGTTTTAGAGTGAAGTATTAGTAAGAATGAGTAAATGATACTACTATTTCAAATTGGAGCACAGCCTGCTATGTTAACCATCCATTATGGTCAACAATTAAAAAAAAAAAACCCACACTATTCTCAAATAATGTTACTCTCTAGCAAATGAAGAGGAATAGGTATTTTAAAAAACAAAAAATACCAACTTAGAAAGATGGTAAGGAACTGTCCTCAGCATGTGACCAAAGAAAAGACTTAAAAATTAAGTAAAATTCTAGTTAACAGAAGTATAATATCAAGAAAGGTCCTAACATGTACTTTATAATAGTGGTTATTAACATTAAGAGAATCCATAAAAATAATGTAGTACTAAATTTTAGTTTTTATAGTGAGGTGATAAAATACTTCCGTAGAAATGAAAAGTATTAACCTAGCCACATAAACAATCCAGATTTTCCAGGCCTTCATTCCTACCGAAAGATCAGCGTGGTTGAGGTGAAAGCTACTTATTAATCTCACAGAGAGGTTACCTGACAACCACATTGTTTACATTTGTCTTATAGTTAATGCTCTTGGAATACAGATATTTTTACTGTTTCTTTGAAATGTAGATATGCATTTGTATTTTTATCTCCCAACTAGTTTTGAACATCAATAATATTTTCAATGACCAATACAGGAAAATAAATGTGTAATATGACTAAATGTAACTAAGGGACAGAAGTGGGTCCAGGAATTGAAGAGTTATGAATATTTATGTACAAAAAGAAAATGACTTACTAATTGTTCTGAAAACAGTGTTCTAAAAAAATTTTCAAATCTTAGTATTCATTTGCCCATTGCCACGTCAATAATGTACACTCAGATTCATCTACATCAACTCAGCCCTACCTCTGTTTCAACACCAATGACTACAAAGCGGAGAAATTACAGTAATTTCTTATCACAGAATCATAAAAAGCCCGTTAAATTTAACTTTAGCAATGGGGAAATGAAATATACTCAAAATTTGCATACAGTATTTGAAGTTCCTATCACAAACTACTCAATTTCACAAAAACAAACAAAACTTGTGTGCCAGACTCTAAATAATTTCTAATGATACAAGGCTACCCTGTAATATGATCAGGAAACCATTCCTACCATTAAACATCTTTCACCACAAGGTGGTTTGAAAATACACAATCAATCACAGGCCCAATTTCTAACATTTGTTAAGTAGGAACATAATTGTTTGGTTTGAAATAGCTCACCTCTCATCTCATCTCATCAAAACCCTAACAAATCTATCTCCTGCAGTTAAAAAAAAAAAAAAAAAAAAAGGAGATACAAAAAAATTCTATGTAATTCTATTCAGCATTTACTAAGCATATTTTCTACTCCTATGAAAGCAAAAACTTTGGAAGGCAAAAAAAAAAAATGCATATAAAGTATCAGATTTCTACAGTTATATTTTAAAAACTAGCCCAACTACAGAGGAATCCACCTATCTGAGAAGAAGCATATGATGAATGTTCCATGCCTGTGCATTAAAGCAAAAGCAAATAAAATCTTCAACAGACTCTGAGTCTCCCAAATATGGGGAGTGTGACTAACAGCTGAGAGGAAAAGCAAGTGAAACTGTCTGGAAATCCATTAAAAGCCAAGCACGGAAAAATGCCCGGTGACAGTATAGTTTGATGTGCAAATTTGTGCAGGAAGAGAGCCAAATTTTGGCAAATTTCCTCATGGTCTTAGATTTATTGACAATGGCATTTCTTTTTCTATTGTAATATTACATTCAAAGAACAGTGTTTGGATGAGAAGGGTTGCTCTAGTCTTTAAAGCAAATGGACTTAAAACTTGGATCTACAAAGACATGGCATTACAAGTAATCCAGAAATGTGCATAAAATATCGCATGTTCCCCCATGCCACAAAAAGAAAAAAAAAATTACCTTGGGGCGAGGGGCAGTAAGAGTGCATTTTTGCATTTCCTGAAGTATATATCCTTTTTACTTGTTTCTGCTAACATAGTTTCCAGGGTCGTGATAGTGCCTGCAGAGGATTATTATTTTTAAAGCATATGTTCCTAATCCACACCCGTATAGATTTCATTACTGCAGCGTTTGCCGGCCTGTGGTTTAGCCCTAAGTGGCTCTTTTACAAATCACTGCATAGGTGCATTTGATGCCACTTGCTTCGTTCTCATCTCCTCCAATGCCCTCAACATTACAGCATGTCATGATGAAAAATGACAGCGTGGTGTTTTTACTTTTAGGGCTTATAATTTAATAGACTGTAGGTTAGACAAATATATATGCAAAGGTACAAGTATTCTATAGGTAGAGCAACATATCTTTTCCTTCAGAATGTTCAGTTTACTTCAGAGCACTAGCAAGTGCAAGTAGCGGGGAAAATTTGTAGAGCATTTTGCATTTAAAGAAGTGACCGATAAAAGTCACAATCCTGAAAATTACCCTGATAGCCTATGGAACCCCCATTTTATTAACAAAGAAACTGAGGTCAAGGACATTGAACTGACTGTACCAAATTTACACACTAAATGGTAAAGTCAAAATTCCACTCGGGAGTTCTGATAGTGTAATCAAGGCTGCTGTCTCTGGATTTAGAGTGTTTAAGTCATCTCATCTAAGTTACCTTATTGGAAACTTGCAAAAATCCAGTGAGGTAACGGCAGTTAGTATTGAAAAAAGTACACAGTATGTAACAGGCACCATTCTTCATCTTGACCAAAACCTTATGTAAGGCTTTATATTATTAGCCCATTTTACGGGGGTAATAAACTGAGGCTCAGAGAAAACACCACACTCCAAGATCTCAGCGCCAGGCCTAGTGCCAGAGCCTCCCTTCCCAGCACCTGACTCTAGCCTGTGAACATAAAATAGGTGGGGAACCTTGCCCAAAGTGACAAGGAAACAGAGAGGCCGCCCGAGAAGCTTCCTTCTGACCCTTCCCTGGAGCTGCTTTTCCTCAATGTAACTGGAGTACAGTTCTCCGCATCAGCGAATGTCGGATGCACTCAAGGGGGCTCTTGGTGTTAACTGTTCTTGAAGACAGAGGCACGGTACGAAAGATGAGTCAGATTGGAAATGACTTATTCTCCACAGACTGGGGGCAGAGGAGCGTAAAGGTGTGTGAGCAGAGACAAGTGCAGCTGCTGTTCTGGTGTAGGGAGTATGTGTGCGGGAGGAGGAAGTGGGAGGACTATAGTCAAGGAAATACAAGGAAAGCACAAGACTGGTGTTCCCAGGGAAAATGTGAAACAGTGGGGAGGCTTGGGTAACACCTCCAAAACAAGCCATATGATATCTTCCCTCAAGACCTAGCATACAGGAAGAACTCTGGCCGAGAGAGAATGCGACTGCAAACGGTGGGTGTTTCTTTTCTTTGGCAAAATGTCATTTTCAGTTTATCAACTGCACTTGACTGTTTACAACCTTCCGGTGGAGCAGAGAGAGGGGAAGGGCCACAGTCAGCACACAGGGCCACGGAGCACTGACTTTCCCACAACATGACTCAAGCTGGTTACTGGAGCCCACAGGTATTCCTCACGATCTTGCTAAATCACCATGAAGAAGTCACAGCAAAAGTCCATTCAAATGAATAAACTGACATGCCAACCTCAATAAAGCTCTTGGTAGAAGCAGCATTTCCAACAAATAAAGAAGAAGAAGAAGAAGAAGAAGAAGAAAAAAGGCATGAAAGCTACCTAACATAAGGCTTCGGAGAAATAGCCCTTTACAGAAGAGAAACTGAATGAGAAGAAACCCCTAATGGAATTTTTCTCATTACTTAAAATAAACCAGGTCACTGAGATGGGCTTCTACTATGTCATTTTGTTCATTTTAACTTAATTTTTATTGCATCGAACCATAAATCCCCGTGGCAATACCTCAGACACGCGCTGACAATAATTGGAATGCCCGGCATTTCAGAAGCACTTCTGCATGAGTTCAACAAACTACAAGGAATGCAGAGAGGTCCCTCCAAGCCTTTTGCCTATGTCAACAACTATTTTATGTGCATGAATTATCTGTGTAGCTATAAAACATGTGTAGAACACATTACATGAGTCTGTAGGAACCCTTAGTGGGACAGAGAGAGGAGAAGATCTGAACTATCTACAGAAACAGCAGAACTTCCTAGAAAAATGCAATCATAATTGTTTTCTTCCAAAAGCCATGACTGTTAAATACACATCTGTGAATTAACTTAAAGTGTAACTACAGTCGAAATACAGGATTTGACTGAGCTGTGACCTATATTTCCTCCCCAAAGCAAAAGGGAACAATGGCATTTTTCTATTCCAAGTTTTTTTCCTGCAAGTTATTTCACAGTTAGAGCCAAAAGCAAAGTGTACTTCAGTGACAGTGATTTGCTTTAAAAAATACTCACCTCTGCTGCTGTTCACAGGCTAGAATTTTAACCACAAGTGAATAAATGAAAGCTACATCTGTTCATTTACTTTTCAACTGAACACACCAAGAAGCATTCAGGAAGGAAATAATCTCGATATGCAACACGATAGCTAAATCCACAACGATAAGAATATGATCTATTGACATACACAGAACCAACAATCAACAGCACAAGAACAAAAGTAAGACATATGCAGTTGAAAATACCCACCCCTAGCAGAAAGCTTTTTGGTGTTGATAATTTTGGCAGCATATTCTTGTCCAGTAGGGATTTTCATACATCTTCTTACCACTGAGAATGCCCCCCTGAAAACCAACAATTAGCAGGTCATCAATTTAATCAGCTCTGATAATCTACCAAAAATAAACAAATAAACAGACCAACCAACAACCACCTTATCATTTTTATTGCTTCTAGTGAACTGTGAATTACCAGGGTACTAAGGGACTTCCAGAAAAGGAGCAATTCTTCCTCCTTACTCAGACCTCCTTTAATGGGGAGTAAAAGTAAAATTTCATTTCACTGGGAGCACACATTAGTAGCCAACAAAATGAAAGGAAAGGCCGATTCTGGTGCCTCTCATCGGTCCATTAAATTTGCGGCCAGTTTACAGTTCACACTCACACAGCACCAAACGCTGAGCAAACCCTGCAAAGAGCAGACCTGAGGAGGAGCAGCAGAATCAGCGGGCTATTTATGGTGGTGGTGGTGGGGGGGGGGGGTCGTGGCTCCAAGTCAGTAAACATGGCGATTGTTTTCCTTAAAATACAAATGTTGGGACCATTTGTGTGGTTTTACAAATCCCGATATGGTGATGTCTCGGTGCCCAGTTTTAGGCTGGGGGAGGGGAGCGAGTCGAATTAAGAAGCTCTTCCGACACAGGCTCCATGTTTAACAGTAGACCGTATATGCATCTATAAAGGGATAACCTTCATTCCACGGAAAGGGTATTTTCACTGCCTTCCACTGAGCTCTGTAAACCAGCATCGTCACATAATGCACCCCCTCCTGTAAGTAATGGAACTAAGGACAGAGAGACTGGGCTTTGGTTTCATGCTAGGGCTTGACCCCTGGGTCCCTAAGAACAGGTCCTCCGGCAGCGCCCGCAGTCCCTTAATATCTCCAAGTACTGATGCCAGTCGGTGCGGGAGGTCGTGTTATTCGACGCTAGGCTACCCTCGGGAAGGGCTCTCCCGGTCTGGGGGTGGGGGGGCTTTTCCGCTGCCTGTATAAATCAATCCTCCCAGGGAGCGCAAAGATGCACGCAAATCCTAGGAGGGATGATGATGCGCGCGGAAGATGGTGCAAAGCACACCGGAGGTGTGGGGCGGGGGCCTGGCTCCTCCGGGCGGCCCTTTTCCGGGACAGAACAACTACTGGATGCGAAATAGACTCTACGCCAAGTTGAACTTTCGGCATCAATAAATATGGCACCGTCGGTGGCAGTAAGTTCTCGTCCGTACGTGGGTCCTACGGCCAGCACGCCGCCCAGGCAGGCGGCATCTCTATTTACAGAGACCAGGGTCTATGTTGCACGTTACACGGACTCTTCCCTCTACACGCACACACAGACACACACACACACACACGCGCGCTCGCACACTTAACGGGATGACAGCTGCAACTGCAGGGACCGTAAATCCGCCGAGTCTCCAGCGCCAGAGGGTGGAGGAACGGGCGGCGGTGGGCTGAGGATCGCCGGAACGCGCCCCGGCGGGGCCGGGGACTCTGCCCTCGTCCGTCCCCTCCCCTCGCTAACAGCACCTTCCTGCGCGCACCTCCCCGGGGGGCCCTGCTCCCCCGTCCTCGCCCTCGCCCCACGCGGGAGGCCGCTGGGTCGGGGGCGAGGCGACCCGCCCTCTGCTGGAAAGGGGCCGCGCGGATGCCGGGCCGAGGCGCTTACTTTCCGAGCTCCTCGAAAAGCTGGTACTCGTCCGTGAACCTGGTGCAGGTGGTGGTCGAAGCCATCCTCGCGCGGGCTGTGCCCCTGGCTGGGAGCGCGGCGGGCAGGACGCGAGCAGACGCGCGGCTTCCCCGGGACTGGCCCCGCGGCGCTGTCACCCAGGGCCGCCCTCACTTTCCTCGTCCGAAAGTAGCTCGCCCGGGAGGGAGTGCGCGCAGGGGCGGGGCGGGCGGGGACGGGACTGGGTGGCGTGGGGTCTCCTCCTCGAGGTGGGGCGACCGTCCTGCTGCTCCGGGCCTCGCTTCCTCGTGCTGCTGCGGCCGCGGCACCCGGCCCCTGTCCAGCCCCTCTCCCACCGGCTGCGGTTAAAGTACTCGGGAGAGGGGGCCGGGAAATGGAAAACAGCTGGGCACGGGGCGAGCGCACAGTTGCGAAACGAGCCGCACCGGGGCAGGAGGGGCCGGGCGGAGGGCAGGGCGGCCG